CCATTGTGGAAGACAGTGTGGCCATTCCTCAAGAATCTAGAAATAGAAATTCCATTTGACCCAGCAATCCCATTACTGTGTATACACCCGAAGGATTATAAACCATTCTATTATAAAGATACATGTACACATATGTTCATTGTGGCACCGTTTACAATAGCAAAGACCTGGAACCAACCCAAGTGCCCATCAATGATAGACTGGACAAAGAAAATGTGGAATATATACACCATTGAATACTATGCAGCCATAAAAAAGGATGAGTTCATGTCCTTTGTAGGGACATGGATGAAGCTGGAAACCATTATTCTCGGCAAACTGACACAAGAACAGAAAATCAAACACCGCATGTTCTCACTCATAGGCGGGTGTTGAACAATGAGAACACATGGGCACAGGGAGGGGAATATCACACACTGGGGTCTGGTGGGGAGTGGGGGGCTAGGGGAGGGACAGCGGGAGGTCGGGAGGTTGTGGAGGGATAACAAAAAAAAATTTACAGCCTGGCTGAGCATGGTGACTCATGCCTGTAATCCCAGCACTTTGGGAGGCCAAGGCGGGGGGATCACTTAAGGTCAGGTGTTCAAGACCAACCTGGCCAACATGGTGAAACTGTCTCTGCTAAAAATACAAAAATTAGCCAGGCATGGTGGCAGGTGCCACTCAGGAGGCTGAGGCAGGAGAATCACTAGAACCTGGGAGGCTGAGGTTGCAGTGAGCCAAGAACATGCCACTGTACTCTAGCCTGGGTCACAGAGTGAGACTCCATCTCAGAAAAATAAAATAAATAAATATTTATAGCCTTACATTTATAATTATGAGTCATTTTGAAGTAACTTTTATATAAGGCATGAGGTTTAGATTGAGCTGCATTCTTTTTAGCATATGGATGTTCAATTTAATGAAAATACCATCTTTTTTCCATTGAATTGCCTTTGTAACTTATTAAAAATCATTTGGCCATAAAAAAATAAGTTGCAGCATCAATTAGGTATCAAATAGCACCTTATTATTTACTTTTCCCTTTCTGTAATTCCTATTAGAGTGAACATTTTAAATAATCTTAACTGTTCCTTGTGTGTGAGCTGCCTTCTAGTATCTTTGGCTTATTTAACAATGAATATGTTAAGGTATTTTTTAAATATCTGTATAAATTATTTATATGACAAAGATTAAAAAAAATATCCAACTATAAAAAGGCCCTCGGTCTTTCACAGTGGCTCATGCCTATAATCCTGCACTTTGGGAGGCCAAGGCAGGAGAATCACTTGAATTCAGGAGTTCAAGGCTGCAGTGAGCCATGATCATGATCATGACACTACACTCCAGCTTGGATGACAGAGCAAGACCTGTCTCAAAACAAAACAAACAAACAAAAAAACACACAACACCACCAACAAAAACCCTAATTACTTAAGAAGTTATGCAACCCTTTCTAATTCTCAAAAAATAATGCCCTGCTATTTGCCAACTATGACACTTATTAAACATAAATCAAATAATATTATTCTCCTGATCTGCAGGGCATAACTGGACAGAGTAAATGCTCAATGAATACTACTCACACTTAGTCTGGATATACAGGGACTTGCTGGAATTAGCCAGTAAGACACTGTATATCTAGCTTGGCTAGAATGGAACTGGTCAGATAACCATGCAGAGCATATGTAAATCTGATCAGATCACAGAATTTCAGAGATGGACAAGACAAGACAGAGAGGATCTGAGCCAAGCCCTTGTTTAATAGATGCAGACTCAGAGGGTTTGAGAAGCAATGCACTCAGGCTAACAAGTTCACGGAGCTGCCTAGGAAAGTGGAAACCGGAACTCTGCTGAGTGTCCTTCCTGAGTGCATCCTGAAGCTCCCTTTTTTCAGAAAGGAGAAAACAGAAGCAGAGAAAGTGGGTGATTTGAAAATATATGGCAGAGGTGATGGGGAGGAAGGCAGCAAATCACACTGCCACTTGTGTACCTATGCAACAATCTTGCATGTTCTTCACATGTACCCCAAAACCCAAAATGCAATTAAAAAAAGAAAAAAAAAAGAATTTCAAGCATAGTTCTAGGATACAAGCTCAATATGTAAATATCAGTTGTATTTTTTACACATTTACAATAAGCAATTCAAACATGAAATTAAGAAAATAATTTTATTTAAAATATCAAATAATAAAATACTTAGGAATAAATTTAATAAAATCAGTACATAAAAGATGTGTACACTGAAAACTACAAAACATCATTGAAAGAAATTTTAAAAGACCTAAATAAAAGGGAAGACATTTCTTCCCATGCTATCTCTCCCCAAAGTTGGAGGAGGCTACCAGATATAGGTGATGGGGAGGAAGGCAGCAAATCACACTGCCATGTGTGTATCTATGCAACAATCTTGCATGTTCTTCACATGTACCCCAAAACCTAAAATGCAATAAATAAAAAAATAAAAAAAAAAGAAACTATGTGGTGGGGAAACATCCTTAGACACAGAGCATAAAAGCAAACTGGTATACAGGGGAACTCACCAAAATTGATTGAATTTGAACTTTTAAATGAGACATAATATATGCACATAATATAAATAAAAAATATTAAATTTTACAAAGAAAAAAGTTAAAACTCTACACCCTCATTTCCCCCCATTCGAGGTAACCACCATTAACCATTACTGACAACTTGAAGAATTACTTTCCAGGTATTTTTCTGTACAGATATAAATAAGTATTATACAAAAGTTGATTCATAATACATACTATTCTGCCTTCTCTTTTTCTTCATTTGAGAGACAATTTTCTATGTCACTACATATGAATTGCCTTATATGTTATAACATCTGAATATTATTCATCCAATATTCTCATAATAATGTCTCCCTTGAAGAACAGAGTGAGTAAAAGTTTTAAAGCACTGTAGGACAAAAGTAGACATTTTATAAATGGTGTTGGGAATTTAGATAGTCATCTGGGAAAATGCGAAATTAGATCTATTCTTCATGCCATACACTTCAAGGAGCTAAGTATACACACGTATACACACACACACACACACACACACACACGTGTATTATAAGACAATTGGGGACATTTGAACACTGACCAAATATTTGAGATTAGAAAGTAGTAAATTCTTACATAATTTCATGATATTGTAGGTTGTATTTTTTAAAGAGCACAAATCTTTTAGAGATCCATATTTCCCGAGACCAGCTCGGTCATAGAAACCCCCACCCAGGCAGCACTGAAGGAATTAAGAAACAGAAACAAAGATAGAGTGCAAAAGTGGGATCAGAGTGGAACGTCAGGGAGCTGACAGCATGTCCCAGCTGACAGCCCAGAGCAGACTCCAACCCACGTATTGATTCTTTGTGAACAACTGACTGTTTTTAATAAGCAGGTGCTCAGTGTTTCTTCACAGAATAAAGATAGACTACACAGGCAGATAGTGCCTGTTCACTGCTAAAACAGAAATAAGCTAAAAAATGCTCTATGCAAGTCAGCAATGGGGACAAGGTCAAATATCCTGTGTTTTGGGAGCTGGTTTAACTAGTGCATGACCAATGCACACTGCTTGCTTATTCTAGCGGTTTCCTGCCTAGGGATGGCTCTGTGTTCCTTGCCATCGCCTCTCAGCAAACAACATACACTCCATCACACACACGTCAAGACCTCCTCCCAAAACACACTGATAATATTTGATGGAATATTAAGTTTTGGATTTGCTTTAAGGTAATCCAGGGAGTGGGGCGGGAAGAAGTAGTTGGCACACAGATGAAATAAGAATGACCACAGATTTAATAATTGATGATGCTGTGTAAAAGTCAATGGTAGGTCATCATACTATTCTCTTCTTTTTTGAGTATGCTTAAAATGCTTTATGTTAAACACTAAAACTGTAAAATTTCACTGATAGAGTGCTGCAGTCAAGAAAACTTGCCCTGACTTTAGTTCTGCCACTTAATTTGTTGAACAATCATAGGCAAATACAAATTTCTTTGTATAATTACAATTTCTATGCTGCCTTATTATTCTGGTAATCTATGCATATGTTCATCTCCCAGTTAAGCTCCAAACCCTGACTATCAGGAATAACATGTTTCATTCATCTTGTTTTCCCCAGTGCCTATCTTGGTGTAGGAATAGATGGGGAAATGTTTCTCAAATTTTTCCGTATGTGGAGAGCTAAGTACTTGCTCAGCACAAATGTGGTCTGCTGGCTTTAGATAAATTAGATAAAAGTAGTATTAATTTTTAAGTATGTTGATTAAAATTATCATCAACATAAGAGTAATCACATTTTATCAATGGGAGTAAAACTTGATAGAGAATAAGTGGTTATCAGAAGTGGGAGGCAGTGGGGGGTGTGGAAGACATAGGTCAAAGGGTACAAGGTTGCCATTAGGTGGGGTGAATAAATCTGTCTATCTAAAGTACAGCATGAGGATTATAGTTTTGTTTTAATTTTTAAAGACAGGGTCTTACTCTGTCCCCCAGGCTGCAGAGCAGTGGCACAATCTTGGCTCAATGCAAACTCTGTCTCCCTGGCTCAAGCCATCCTCCCACCTCAGCCACCCGAGTAGCTGCGACTACAGGCATGCACCATCACGCCTAGCTAATTTTTGCATTTTTTTGTAAAGACAAGGTTTTGCCATGTTACCCAGGTTGGCCTTGAACTCTTGAACTTAACCTCCCAAAGTGCTGGAATTACAGGCATGAGACACCATGCCCAGCTGAAGACTATAATATTGTATAGTTAATAATATTGTATTGTATGCTGGAAATTTGCTAAAAGAGTAGATTCTGAGTGCTCTTACCACACACACAAAAGGTAACTGTGAGACGTGAAATAATGGATATCTTAAGTGCTTACCTGTAGAAATCATTTCACTGTGTATATCAAAATATCATGTTGTAGTCCTTAAGTGTATAAAATGTAATCATAAATAAAAATAAAATTTTAAAAATAGAATTGGTAGATAAAAATAAGTGATAAAACATTTAAAATTATATTTTTAAATTATAAAAAATATTTAATATTAACATTAATAGACATTTTATCAGGCATAGAAATATCCTTTGTAATCTTTTGCCGATGTCGTTGTATCTGGCTAGTGTTTCATAGCTTGAGCTATAGGTTAGGCTGTCTATCCTTCCTCCTGTTAAAGTTTATTTTCCTCCTCTATATTTTTACTAAATTAGAAAATTTCATCTCAGAGATCAGGTCATTGGGAATGGCAGTGAATGTTTGGTGTCTCTTTTACACAAATCTGGGAAATCAAATGGAAAATAAAGTGGTTTCTTACTGAATACAACTTTCTCCACTCTGTCGGACACTACATTGACAGAAATTGTATCTGAAAGACAAGGGGCAAATGTTTCTGTTGCAGATGGCTTTGAATACACTTTTTCACTCTTGCATTGACTGTGGCTCTAGAAAGTATTGTTTCATGTTCTGTTGCAGTACTTGCATGCAGATGTGGATATTTAAATATGCAGCACTGTTACAGAAGGTAGCAAACCAGACATAAGCAGGGCAGGAAAGCCCCCAACCTCCCTGCATCAGGAATGCCAGGCTGAATTTGATTACACTGAATTTGATTGATTTCTCTCTTACGTGTCTTTTAAATCTATAGGTTTTTCTTACCCTCTCTTCTTCATTCTCTTGCCTGATCAATGCCAGGTGAGAGTCTGGCAGTTAAGCTGTCTCTCCAAAACAATAATCAGATGCAGCAGGGACCAGGGAAATGTAGTCTCCCAATAGGTAGAAACACCTGAAACTGGTGAGCAGCAGTCTCCCAGTAAGATCTCACGAGCTGGGGAAGTGGGCTCACACATGCGCACTAAGAGGCAAAACAACTACGTTTCACTGGTATGTGACCTTCTGGGAAGGTTCTACTGGTAAGAGAAGAATGCATCAAATGAGCATGTGTTCAACTCCAGAAACACAGGGTGCATGTGGACAGCCCACCCCAAGGGAAGAATGGGGGCACGGGAAGGGATGCAGCACCCTGGAAGCTTCCCAGTGTATAAGACCCCAAGTCAAAGGTCACACAGCACACTTATCTCTCAAGGCACCTGCTTGGCCCTCTTCCAAGTGTCCTTTACTTCCTTATGTTCCTGTGCTAAAGGTTTTTAATAAACTTTCACTCTTGCCCTAAAACTTGCCTCAGTCTCTCCTGCCTTCAGTCAAATTCTTTCTTCTGAGGGGCAAGAATTGAGGTTGCTGCAGACCCGAATGGATTCGCCACAGCTGACAGCACTACATCTTGGTTTTCTTAATTTTCTTCTGTAGCAAGTGAAAAAAAAATAGTTATTGGTAATCTATCAAATTCCCAGAAATCAAACTCTTTGCACCATCATTTTGCCTACTAAAGAAATCCTGATATCATCTCCTGAGTGTTGAGCATTTAGGATTTTGTCCCTAACGTGAGAGCTTAGACCCCTAAATTATACCATTCAAGACACTAAGACTTATGAATTAAGGTTAAAAACAGCATTATGCAAAACATTTATTTCAATTTCATTCCTTATTTAAAGACAAGAGTGGACCATTCCCACCCAAAATAGTGCCTCCCACTGGGGAGAAGCAGGGTGTTGCCCTAACTGCCTGTTGCATGCTGAAAACATGTGCACACAGAAGCCACGGTTCGTTCTTAGTCACAATTTGCAGTATTTCTTTCAATGCCAAATCAAGATGAGGAGGTGTATAGTTAAGTGCCAGTTAATCTTTGTGAGAAAGCATTTTGTGATTTGACACTCAAGAGTCCAGGAGTTTGAGAGCAGGCTGGGCAACATAGGGAGACCCCCATCTCTACCAAAAAAAAAAAAAGTCTTTAAAATTAGCCAGGTGTGGCAGGGGCTGCTTGAGGAGAGGCAGACAGCATGATGCTTCTCATCACGTGCCCCAGACAGAGGACCCCTGCATCAGTGAGGGAGAGCTAAAGAGAAGAGCAGTGGGACTCTCTGGAGACACCGAGGAGAAGCCAGAAGACTGATGGGACTATCCATGACCGCTCGGCACAACTGAACATCAGCAACTTTTAGCAGGCTTCTACTAATGAATGTGGAACCGAGGGACTGGCAGCTCCATTTCCTCTGATATTAACATTTTTTTACTTTATTTTAATGAGGAAAATGAGATTCTTCTCAGTTTCCTATCACCAAACCCAGTTTGGGAGGGGATGACATTTATCAACAGTGCTTTGAAAAATATTAAGCATCGTACAAATAGGAGGAATTGTTGCTGCTATAATCCTAATGAAGCACACGTGCAGCTCTGCATGAGCCTCAATATTTAGGGGACATTTAAGGAATTAGGAGGAACTCTGTGACTACTGGGTAGTGACTCGAGATGGTCTTCGCAGGAAGAGCCAACTAATCTGGCCATATTAAATCCATTTTTAGAAGAAAAAAAAAATAGCCAGCTGTGGTGGCACACACCTGTAGTCCCAGCTACTAGGGAGGCTGAGGCAAGAGGCTCATTTGAGTCCAAGAGGTCAAGGCTGCCAGCCTTGATCATACCACTTTACGCTAGCCTGGGTGATAGAGCAAGCCTCTGTCTCGGAGAAAAAAGAAGACAAACTTTTTCATGTATGCATGTATAATCAAACATGAACAACAATGTTCAAGCAGCATGATCTATAAAAGTAAACCAACTGGAAACAAGCCAATAAGAATGGCCACTGTCAATAGAACACATTAATTTGTGGTAGTCTAGTCATAAGTTCATTCTGTTGTATGAACATGTTCAGCAGTGAAAATAAATGAATCAGCTAAGTACAGCAACATGGATGAAATCTCAAAAACATATTGAACAAAAGCAGCAAGTCACAGGAAAATATTTGTGATTTCATTTATGGAAAGTAAAAAAAATAGATAAAAGTAAACAATAAATCATTTAGTGATACATACGCAGGTGGTAAAGCTAGAATGAACGGAAAAGGAATTAAAGGTAGAAAAGTTAGGAACATGATGAGGGAAGGAGGTAAGGAAGAGAGAGGGGCACCACCAGGGAAGGTGGGCGTGAGCACCTGTAAAGTTCTGGTAATGTTCTAGTTCTCCCATGTGTTCGTTATCAACTACTCATTTTACTGATTTTTGTTTCTGTTTTGTTCTTTGGGGTTTTTAGGGGACAGAGTCTTGCTCTGTTGCCTAGGCTGGAGTGCAGTGGCATGCTCTCAGCTCAGGGCAACCTCCACCTCCAGGTTCAAGTAATTCTCATGTCTCAGCCTCCCAAGTAGCTGGGATTACAGGAACATACCACCATGCCGGCTAATTTTTGTATTTTCAGTGGAGACGGTATTTTGCCATGCTGGCCAAGCCGGTCTCAAACTCCTGGCTCAAGTAATCTATGCGCCTCAGCCTCCCAAAGTGCTGGGATTACAGGTGTGAGCCACAGTGCCTGGCCATTTTACTGTTTTTCTTAAATGTATAAATATAAGTTTATACCTTATATTTAAGATATAATACCACCGCTCTGAATGTATTATATCACACAGCCACACACAAAACTCTGAGCCATTGATGCATTCATGTGACTTGTATCAACAAAATAATACAGTAACTATAGATTAACAAAAAGCATATGCAAATGATATAGAAATATTCATTTAAACAATATTAGTTACAACTCAGCTGGGCCCAGTGGCTTAAGCCTGTAATCCCACCCAGCACTTTGGGAGGCCAAGGTCGGCAGATCACTTGAGGTCAGAAGTTTGAGACTAGCCTGGTCAACATGGTGAAACCTCATCTCTCACAAAATACAAAAATTAGCCAGGCATGGTATCAGGTGCCTGTAGCCCCAGCTACTCAGGAGGCTGAGGCATGAGAATTGAACCCAGGAGATGGAGATTGCAGTGAGCCAAGATCATGCCACTGCACCCCAACCTGGGCAACAGAGTAAGACTCTGTCTCAATAAAATAAAATAAAATAGTCCTATGGCTCACGCTTGTAATCCCAGTACTTTGGGAGGCCAAGGCGGGTGGATTGCCTGAGCTCAAGAGTTCCCAGCCAGCCTGGGCAACACGAGGAAACCCCATCCCTACTAAAATACAAAGAATTAGCCAGGCATGGTGGCACGTGCCTGTAGTCCCAGCTACTTGTGAGGCTGAGGCAGGGGAATTACTTGAACCTGGGAGACAGAGGGTGCAGTAAGCCAAGATTGCACCACTGCACTCCAGTCTGGGCAACAGAGCCAGACTCCATAATTAATTAATTAATTAATTAAAGTTATAACTGAATGTTAGCTGAGACTAACTAACCAACACAGTCCTTTGATTGCAGAAAGCAGCTTCTAGCAGTGCCTCCACACTTTTGGCAGTCTGAATCTCTTTCCTCTGCCCTCCTCTCTAAATTCATCATTTCTCTTGTCTTCATAATCTTTCTTAATACAATGAACCACAGTTGACTGGATTTATGCCTTGGGAGGAGGCTGATGTAGTCAGCGAGTCAGGCCACAAGTTCTGGGGAGAGATCTGGTGCGTTGACATCTCCCCAGTGTTCGTTCTGTGACTTCATTTCTGTGCCTGACTTTCCTATTCTGGAAAATAACCATAAGAATAGTACCTCACAGTGTCATTGAGTTAATACGCATACAACAGCATTTACTCCAGTGCCTACTGTATGGTACGTGCTCCCACAAATGCTGACGGTCCTTTTTCAAAATTGCAGTCACATCTAGTGGTCCCATGTCCTTTAAACTGTACCCTAATAACCTTAGTAATGAAGATGGTGTTATTGGTAACAACCTCTTACTCAATATCCCTGATGTACCAGCAATGTCCAAGATGCCTTGGATATAATGCTTCATTTACTTGTTTTGATAAATTCTTTACTGTCCATTTGAATGGAGTTTGGGGTGTCCTCTCTTTGCTCAAATATTTACACACAAATAATCTTATGACTTATTCCACAGATAGCTAATCCCACCTAGCATGGACTTTCCTATTCAGTTTTCTGACTACAACCTCATTCACCTCATTTCCTAATTTACAGGTTGGGAGGGTACCTTAGTGCAAGCCCCCTTGCAGCCGCTTAGGGAACAGAAAAGAAAACAAGCAAAAGAGACTATGTGCATCCAAATGAGCTTTCAGAAGCAAATTAATTTTCTTGAAAAAGGTCCAATTTCCTAGAAGAGAGTGAAACCTGTGCTTGGAGCCCCCAGGTTATAAGCAAGCTAAAATTTTGAAGATTAAAAAAAAGAAATCCTTGCAAAACCCTCATCAATCAAGCAATGAAACCTCTGGCAAGTGTAACACTGAGAATCAGATTGAAACTTGTCCATTTGAAGAAGCCCTTGTCAGCTCCAGACTCACAACTTCCCTCTGCACATTGCAGTTAAATGATCAGGGGACCAGGTGCGGTGGCTCACACCTGTAATCCCAGCATTTTGGGAGGCCAAGGCGGGAGGATCACAAGGTCAGGAGTTGCAGGCCAGCCTGGCCAATATGGTGAAATCCCGTCTCTACTTTAAAAAATAGAAAAATTAGGGCATGGCAGTGCGCGCCTGTATTCCAGCAACTCGGAGGCTGAGGCAGGAGAATTGCTTGAACCTGGGAGGCGGAGATTGCAGTAGGCCAAGATTGTGCCACAACACTCCAGCCTGGGCGACAGAGCAAGACTCCATCTCAAAATGATCAGGGAGGAAAAGTCACATAAAGTCCCCTTCATGTTTTTTCTGTCTGCTTGTCACAGATGCTGACCTGTTCTCTAGATTTCCAGAGTTACCGACCCACAGGAGAGACTGACTTTCACAAAATCTGCACCAGCTCAGAGCCCTACTTAGAGATCAAGACACTCAGGTGTAAGGCCGGGAGGTTGGGCACACCCACCTCTGCACCCGGCACCAGGCTCTGCCGCATGGCTCCCCTGGAAGGCTCCAGCTGATGCAAGGCTCCTGGCCAGCTCTCCCACCGGAAAACCCGCCCAACAACCCGCCAACCAATAGCCCGCCCCATCTCAATCCCACTCCCCTGGAGTCAGTCAGAGCACCAGCTATTGCTCGTTCCTCCTAGCCATAAAAATCCCACGCCCCAGGAAATTGGCACAACTTCCCTGGTCCGTTTCCCCAGGACCATGGAACCTCGCCCGGGAGCTGAATAAATTGGATTTTCATTTTCTTATATTGGCCTCAGTTTCCTCATTTTAAACTCGGCAATAAACCTTACACTGGGAAAATGCTACTGAGTGAAAGAGCCATAGAGGGGCTAGCAGAGAATAGGCACTGCAGTGTGCCCTGACAAGTCCTCATGGGCTAAATTGGAAGGCCTAGTCCCTGCTTTGAAGAAATATTAGGAAAGCCAATAAAATTAAAATAAAATTTAATTAACATAGCCTTTGAAAGTATTTCTGGCCGGGCATGGTGGCTCATGCCTATAATCCCAGCACTTTGCGAGGCTGAGGCAGGCGGATCACAAGGTCATGAGTTCGAGATCAGTCTGGCCAACATAATGAAACCTCGTCTCTACTAAAAATGAAAAATAAATTAAAAAAATTTAAAAAAATCACCAGGTGTGGTGGTGCATGACTGTAATCCCAGCTACTGAGGAGGCTGAGGTAGAAAAATCATGTGAACCCAGGAGGCGGAGGTTTCTGTGAGCCAAGATCGTGACATTGCCCTCCAGCCTGGGCAACAATGCAAGACTATGTCTCCAAAAAAAATAAAAAATAAAAAAGCATTTCCCAGTACAGTCTTTATTTGTGCTTCACCAGGACTCTTGGAAGCAGATACTATTTTTCCTATTTTACTAAAGTGGTCACCGAGGCTCTGTCCAGGCTGACAAGACAGTTACTGTGGCAGCTGGGGTCTAAGCCAGACTGACTGTCTCTGAAACCACCCGTTACTGACCTGTGCTCCAGGGCATTCTGTGCACACAGTGAGCTCCAGCTACATGCCAGGCATTGTACTAGGTGCCAGGAGAAAGTAGAGACGTGACAGAGTCCCCGAGAGCACTGTCCTCTGAAAGACACTAACAAATCAACAACCACATCAAGTCCTGAGCAGTGGCTGCCACATCACAGAACAGAGGAGAGTGACCTCCCCCATGGAGCCCAAGAGACAACCAGGAATCGGTTAGACAAAGGAGAACGTTCCATGAAGCCTTTGCTCCCAGGACCCACCTTGAGCAACCTCCAATTTGTTGGCCAAAACCACAGTGTTCTTCTGGTATTTAAGGCTCACAGAGTTCATGTACTTCACATTTTTATACCATCAGGCAAGTATTTTTAAAAGTACTGTCCACTCTAGAAAAAAATGGATATATAATACACACATATTTTGTATATGTATTTATGTATTCATGTATGCTTGTATGTATTATAGTGGCACAAAAGTAACTGCAGTTCTTGCCATTAAAAGTAATGGCAAAAAACGAAATTAATTTTGCATCAATCTAGTAGGTATATTATACACACACACACACACACACACACACAGAGAGAGAGAGAGAGAGAGAGATTTAGATAATTACATAAAAAAATTCATTAAATTAATTGAGTATCATTTTTCCATGTATGATGTCACCTATCAGCCAGCATTTTCAGTTATTCATTTATTCAATTATTTAAGAGAAATTTTAGAGCTGGACGTCGTGGCTCATGCCTGTAATGCCAGCACTTTGGGAAGCCGAGGCAGGTGGATCACGAGGTCAAGAGATCAAGACCAACCTGGCCAACATGGTGAAACCCTATCTTGCATGCCTGTAGTCCCAGCTATTTGGGAGGCTGAGGCAGGAGAATTGTTTGAACCTGGGAGGCAGAGGTTGCAGTGAGCTGAGATCACACCGCTGCACTCCAGCCTGCAACAGAGCAAGACTCCGTCTCAAAAGAAAACAAAAAACACACTTTAGAAGTACTTACTGGATCTAGATATGCCTCACATAGGGATAGGCACTGACACAAGGCCCCTACCCTCACAGCACTCACATTCTACTGGGGGAAGCAGACACAAGTAAACCTAAATAAACAAGATACTTGCACACTGAAATAAGTCTTACAAAGTGAGCACAGTAATGAGAAAGAGGGAGACAGAAGGGGTCGTTTTAGATAGGAGCATCAGAGCAGACTACTCTGAGGAAGGGGTACCTGATCTGAGGCCTGGCGATCTCAGGAGCTGGGAATAGCATTCCAAGTGAGCAGGTGGGAAAGACAAAGGCCTAGAGGCAGTAAGAGCTGGTTGTGTCTGGCCTGGTTCTCAACCTGGGCTGTCCAGTAGATTAACCTACCACCCTCCTGGCACATCACTGTGTATCACTAATCAGGGAAGCTCACTAGAGAGTTTTTACTGGAATTTCATTGTGTAGGCATGAGTGACCCAGAAAATTGAACTCAACTTCCAGTCCCCTTCCCTTCTCCATAGTTCAGGTTGATATCACCCAGCTCAAAGCCCCAATCCTGTAATCACACAGTTGGTCGTTATTTCATGGTAGGCCTCTGTCCTGAGTCATCTCATTAGCAGAAACTCAGAGGTGATCTGAGGGGCCCACCATGAACGACAAGAACACTCCTATCACTTGGAAAATCCCAATGATTCAGTGATTCCCTCCCAAGAACTAGAGACAAAGGCAATTCTTCAAGACTAGTTAATGAGCTGGAAAAGGGCAGGCCTGATGAAGGTTGGGGCTATAATCAGGAGTGTGGTTTTGATGTACGACATTTGGATCACCTCTGAGACAGCCAAGTGGAGATGTCAAGTAGACAGTTGAGTGGACAAGACTGACCTCTCGGGGGAAGTCTGGGCTGCTGAAACAAATCTGAGAACCATCAGCAAGTTAATGGCATTCAAAACCAGCAGACAGGATGAGATCCCTTAGCAAGCTGACAGTAAAAGAGAAAATAAATGACCCAGGCCTAAGCCCCAAAGCAAACCATCATTTGGAATTATTATGACCTACAACTCTGATTTTCCTGCTCTTTCATCTTTATCTGCTCAGGCAGCAAAAAATGAAAAGTTGTTCCAGTTGAGGTAAGTCCCATCTTTTAATATGCATAAACCTCCTCAAAAATGTTTTTGAACATGAAACAAAGCCAGGAGCTTCCCACAGTGAGATTCAAGCTGGGGAGGACACATACTGTTTATTATCTTCTAACACAGACAGTAACATATAACAAGAAAAAGGCAGGAAGCCAGAACATTTGAAATAACACTGGGTTATACAAAGACACATTCTTTTCACCAATGTAAAACTATAAAAGGATAAAAATGATGTATTTTTCATTTCAGAAGCAGTTTCCCCTAATTTATAATGTTCACTTTCCCTACAGTAATGGTAATGGTAACACAAATGATACTGTTTGAATTAAAAAAAAAAAAAAAACTTCAGCCATGGTAGCCCCAGCTACACAGGGGTCTGAGATGGGAAGATTACTTGAGGCCAGGAGTTCAATTCCAGCCTGGGCAACAAATGGAGACCTCATCTCTAAAAATAACAAAGAACTTGTTCATTCCTTATTGAAAACAAATTTCTCTTACTTATTCAGTTTTTTTTTTTTTTTTTTTTGAGATGAAGTGTTGCTCTGTCACCCAGGCTGGAGTGCAGTGGCACCATATTAGCTCACTGCAACCTCCACCTCTGGGTTCCAGTGATTCTCCTGCCTCAGCCTCCTGAGTAGCTGGTATGACAGGAATGCACCACCATGCCTGGATAATTTTTGTGTTTTTAGTAGAGACAAGGTTTTGCCATGTTGGCCAGGCTGATCTCAAACTTTGACCTCAAGTGACCCACACACCTCAGCCTCCCAAAATGCTAGAATTACAAGTATGAGCCACCATGCCCAGCCTACTTGTTCAGCTTCTAGGAGTTAATGTAAAACACTGTAAGTTCAATACAGGAACTAGCATAAAGAGCACTGCCACTTCAGACCAACATTATTAGGGAGATATTCAATATCTTCATCTACAGCCATGCCAAGGGTAATGATAATATTTAATAATAAAAAGACTATTTAACATTCATGGAGCTCTTACAATATGCTAGCCCTCAGCTAAGTGCCTCAGAGACATTATTGCTTTCCAGTAATATATTTAATATTAATTGAACAGATGCATTTAATTTTTATTTAGTAATATGCTTTTATTTAATGACATGTATAAAGCAATAACCCTGAAAAATATTCTATGCCTAATGTACAGCTGAGAAAACTGAGGCTTGCAGAGGTGAAGTAACTTGCTTCTCAACAAGCCACAAGTCATTTAATCCAGATCACAGGGCCACCCAGTGAGGAAGCAACAAAGCCACAGCCCAGGTCTGTCTGCAGCTGAAGCAGTAAGAGGCCCAGAAGTTAAAGGAGAGATCGTCACCGGTGCCCTTAAAATATGTCTGGGATGCATGAGTGCTTCACTGATGGAGTTTCTTCTGCTGAAAGTAATTTAGTTCAATGTGCAGGTCCTGTGGGGCTCCTGTGCTTTCTCAGCCAGCAGGAGTGAGAAGAGGCAAGAGTCTTTCTGCAGCACTGAAGCGGCCGCTGGGTGAAAGGAGTTCAACAATGGAGTCAGGTAGTCCGTTGTTCAGCTTCAGATTCATTTACTCTCAGGCTTGTCTTCTTTCTCCCCTTTCAATCACTGAGGCTGTCTTGATGAGAGGCACGCTCCCCCTTCTATTCTGGGCCAGAAACTCACTGCAACTGTCTGTGAATGGGTGGGAAACTTGCCACCCCAGTCAGGCCACTGGGATTGTGCCAATTACCTTTTATCTGCCAAGTGGCAAGGTATCAGAATGGCTAGACCTCAGGATGCCACATTATCAATCACAACTATTATTTATTAATCATTTGCTAGTTATTACACATATAAATATAACATAGCTCATATCTTTATTATGAATATAAAATTGTTTAATTTTTATATAAAGTTGTTTATATTTTTGTTATATAAAATTATTTAAATTTTTATTATATAAAGTTTATAGTTTTGTTATACTTGTTTTTATTATTTTTATAAATTATTTATTAATCACTTACTATAGTAATAAGAGCCATTATTTATTAAGTGCCTTATATGCATCAGACATTTAACAAATATTTTCATTTAGTCTTCATAGCACTTAGCATGGTAGATAATATAATCCCCTATAGAGACTCAGAAGGTTTGAAACTTGCCCAAAGTCACACAGTGGCAGAGCTGGGACTGGACCCAGGTGTCTGGGACTCCAAAATGCATGTACTTTCCCATATCAATTCTGCCTCTAATACACTGGATAGCAGTACCTTAGCTCCAGGCAGAAGTCAGAGGCATCTGTTTATCACGGATGTCAGTGTCTGCCAGACTCAGCGCTATAGAGCTGGAGGTAATGAAACTCTCCCATCTATTTTATGAATCTGAATATATTAACATTATTTGGACAGCCATGAGTACTCAGTGCCCTGCTAGAGCAATAGCCTCAGGGGTTATTGACATGCATGGACTTCTTTCTCTCCATGCCAAATGGTGCCACACTGACATCCTTTTTTTAATTTAATTTTTTAAATTCACGTCTGTTGTAATTTTTCTGCCTCCTACCTCACTGTTAGGTTGTAAGCTACCACAAATGTTTCACTGATGTCCTTGTGCCTGCTTCTAGGGTGGCACTGTTGACCTTTAGGCTGGATAATTCTTCATTAGGGCGGGGGCATCCTGTGCATTACAGAATATTTATCAGCAGCCCTGGCCTCCACCTTCTAGATGCGAGTTGTAACTTTCCCTTCCTCCCCAGGCATGCCTATCAAAGATGTCTCTGGACACTGTCAAATGTCCCCCACTACTGGGGAAGAGACAAAATCACCCCCATTGAACAACCATTGTTCTAGGTGAGTACACACCCACACAAATATACACACACACATTTCTAATATGCTACGTCTTATAGTGCTGCTCAAGGAACGAAACAGCTAGCCAGGCTTATCAGACAGAAACAGAATAAAATAAATATAAAATAAGCTTGGCGTGATATTGTGAGGAAATCTCACAGCAACCCTCATGAGTTTCAGCTGATAATGTCTGTGACATATTTCTGTTGCTAAAAAGCCAGCAGCTTTGAATTTCTCCTTAACCCCTCTTGGACATAGGCTTCTGAGCCATGAAGGCAGAAAAGTCACTGGCCCAGTACTCAGTACCAGATGGTATTCACTAAATGTCAATTTCCCTCATGCCCCAACTGAATAAACCAATGTTGCTCAGACACTCTACACTGGGGAGGCATAATCAAATATAAACCACTTGATCAAAAGTAAAAACGGAAAAAGGAAGCCCATGTGAAAAGAAGGAACAGAAATCTTTCTTGGCCACAAGTAGATCGAAACACCATCTGCTCTTGCCTGTTGTCCTTAATATAGTGTACAGTTACTGTTAGACCTTGATACTGGTGTTTTTGTTTTGTTTTGTTTTGTTTTGTTTTGAGACAGGGTCTTGCTGTTACTTGGGCTGGAGTGTAGTGGCACAATCTCAGCTCACTGCAGCCTTGACATCCCAGTCTTCAAGTAATCCTCCTGCCTCAGCCTCCTGAGTAGCTGAGATTACAGGCATACACTACCATGCCCAGCTAGGTGTTTTTTTGTTTTTTGTTGTTGTTGTTGTTAGACACGGGGTCCCTCTGTGTTGCCCAGGCTGGCCTCAAACTTCTGGGCTCAAGCGATCCTCCTGCCTCAGCCTCTCAAAGTGTTGGGATTACAGGCATGAGCCACCGTGCCTGTCCCTTGGATTTGTTTTGATCTCTTTAGAAATCACTTTAATTCAGAAGCAAAGGCCACTTCATAGTATGCTTTTATATTACCTTATCAATTTTACTTTGTGCTCATTTAAAAGATAATTTTGTCCCAGCTACTCCGGACGCTGAGGAAGAAGAACTGCTTCAACATAGGAGGTGGAGCTTGTAGTCAGCCAAGATTGCGCCACTGCACTTCACTTAGCCTCGGTGACAGAGTGAGTCTGTGGAAAGAAAGGGGAGGGAAGGGGGGAGAGAAGAGCGGGGAGGGGAGGGGAGAAGAAAGGCAGGAAGGTGGGAAGGAGGAAAGGAGGAAAGCAGGGAAGGAGGGAGGGCAGGAAGGAAAAATTAAATTTAAAAAATAAATTAAATTTAAAATTTAAAAAATTGATTCTGGATCATATCACTAGAAAAAAATTTTATGATTTTTCAGTTTTTCCAAAGGGAATCCTTATAAAGACACCACATTATCCCCCTACTTTTTTCTTTCAGTTGAAGCCTCTATTTCCAACCAACCTTGCCAGCAGAATAGGGTGGTTTTTTAAATCTTTATCATTTTTTACTATATGAAAAACTAATCCATACACTTTGTAAAAGTACATTAAATTCAGAAAATAGAGAAGTACAAAATAAAAAAATAGGAAAATGGAATTTATATGCTAATTTGTTTTCCTGATTAAAGTATTTATCTTGGGTATCTCTTCATGCCCCTCCTTTGCAAGGCAAACACCCCCAATGCATGTAAAGTCCTGAGATTTGGCTTAAGAGGCCAAAGGGGACGAGTGATGTTAACTCCCACATCCCTTCACTGACAGCTTTCTCATTCCTGCCCAGGTCTCATGAGTATGGGCAGAAACACCCAGGTCCAAGGAACTCATCTGGGCATAGATGTGCCCAGACAGGTGTGAGTTCTCCAAGCTTCTTCATTCAGAGCTGGTTCCCTATGAGGGCATCTTTGTGGCAGGAACTTGCAAGTGAATACTGCCAGGGAGAAGAATGCTGATTACTTGAGTATGGCAGTAGCTGTCTGCATGGAAAGAAATCACTTAACATGGAGCTCGTGGATGTGTGAATTCCAAGTTCAGAGTAATTAAACAGGGGACCAGGACTGAGCCTCAGATACAGGCAGGGTACACCAGGGTGAGGATCCCTCCTGCACACACGATAGTCATCACAAGCTTTACTTAAATAAAAGTGATCTCTCCACAAGGCTGAGGTGGGCTATAGCAGCTGCTGTGGATCTCTATATTCCACGGAGGTGCCTGCCTGGTTCCCTAAAATCCCTGGGCATTGGACCAGGAGGATGGTACTCAGTGGCAAGATTGCCTGTTTCCGCAGCACCACCATGTGTTAGGACAAGCAACAACAGCCAAAACTCCTGGACACCCTGGTCTTCCAGTTTTTTCTGCTCTAAGAGACAGCAAGCATCCAGGAATCAAGGAATATCCCTGACGGAGGAGAGACATTGGCGTTATCACAGAAGAAAGGATAGCATGGGATAAAGTACATTCTCACTACAAGTGGTATGGGTTATAAAATGAGCTAAGTTAAATATTAAGATAAAATGTATCTCAAGGTGATGAATAATAGTAAGAATAAAAGGAGCTACCTTTTGTTACGTACTGTCTATGACTCAAGCATATGTGATGCTTTGCTCATTGACTCTTCACAGCAGAACCTATTAGGCATTTATTTATTTTCCTTATTTGAGGAAAATGAAGATGAGAAACATTAAGAAATTTGGACAAGTTCCGTTTGCCATGCCATGGTAAAGTGGCTGCTCAAACGTAAAACCGTCTCCTCCCAAATCCATGTTCTTTTCATGAATCCAGAGAATATGGGGGAAATAAAAGGAACCAATGTCCTCAGAAGATAAGGTTTCCTCATTGTATTCTCTGACCCATGTAAGTGTGGAGGGGTCAGAAGGCACCTGAGATTCCTCAAACCCAAGGATAGCGTTCCTACGATTGAGAACATCACCATCTCCAGCCTAAATCTTACAAAATATCTACTCATTTGCATTGCCAATTTGTATTGTATCGGGTAAAAAATTATGGCAAAGTGTGTTCATCAAAAATATCCTTCTTGTTAAACGTCACACTGATTTCCTGGGCACAATGCCCATCTTGGTTTATCTTCACTAATTAAGACAGCTTTGTAAAGTACAGTTGTTACATGAAATTGATGTGACCTATACATCTGCTACTAGCACAAATGTTTGTGACAGAAAGAGTTGTCAGAGAGGAAATATTCCAGGGTTTTATTACTGCCACTAACAACCCAACAAACTCAATGCATCCTGCTGCTTATGTTTTGGTTGCCAGGAGCTTTGATGGGACTAAGGGTCCCATCATAATCTGGGATCATTTGGTTACAAGGAAGAAAAACACACTAAACTAGTTTATGGGAAATTGTGGGTTTGCTCTAAAAGAATCTTTTGTCAATTTTCCTCTATAGAAACCTTATGGACTTAGAAAGCACCAGGTGTCCAAACATCCTGTTACAAAACAAAACGTTAATGAAATCAGACATCTCTGTGTAAAAGCTAAGGTGTAGCTAGATGGAAATAAGCTATTGGAATTTCCTGATAGAAATCAGGAAAGTGGTGAGTGGAGGTGGAAGGAAGAGGAGTGAAAATAAACTTATGATACAAAATGGGAGACAAGAGATACCATCAATAATTAATGGAATGAGAAAGGTTAAACTGGTAACAATTGAAGAACAAAAATGGTGATATAACTGGAGAAGAAAGAGGGGGACTAGGAAGGTAGATCGTGGTATGTATTGGTTAGCTACTGCTGTATAACAAACTACTTCAAAGCTCAGTGGCCTGATAGAACAATCATTTATGATTGTTCACCCATCTGCAGACATACTAGAATTCAGCTGATCAAGGCTGGGTCTGGCCAGATTGCAAGTCTACAAGTCACCGGGATGGTGTTGCCCTACATTTTCTATCCTTCTCCCAAGACCAGCAGGCTACCCACCTGATGACAGAGGTACAACAGAACAGACCATACTGCACCAGCACTTTTTTTTTTTTGACAAGGTCTCACTCTTTCACCCAATCGCCCAGGCTGGAGTACAGTAGTGTGACCATGACTCACTGCAACCTCCGCCTCCCAGGTTCAGGCAATTCTCCTGCCTCAGCCTCCCAAGTATCTGGGATTATAGGCACCCACCACCATGCCTAGCTCATCTTTATATTTTTAGTAGAGACAGCATTTCACCATGTTGCCTCAAGTGATTCACCTGCCTTGGCCTTCCAAAGTGCCTGGATTACAGGCATGAGCCACCACACCTGGCCCACAAGCACTTTTCTAACCCCTACTTGCATCATGCCTGCAAACATCCCATTATCCAAAGCATATCACATGACTGAGCCCAAAGTCAAAATCAGGGGATATGCAACTGGGCAGGACTACAAAGTCCCATGACAGTGGGCCTGGGAATAGAGAGAGGAAAAGCCTTGGAACCAGTGGGAGCAAGAAAGGTGGGTGGCGGTACAGATGAACTAAATTCTCATCAACCACAGCAGAAGCCAGTAGATAATGCCCTACAGGGTTGGTGGTGTAAGGGCACAAGTCTACTACTTAGACAAGCTAATTAACACTCAGAGTCAGGGCACTAAAAGTTGAAAGAGAGCTGTTTCCTTCTGAAGAGTACTAAGACTAGGAGGGGGAAGTTAAGGTTCATAAACCTTTTATTTGTTTGAATTTTTTTAACTGTATATAATTATTAAACTTTTGGGGTTTGTTTTGAGACAGAGTCTCACTCTGTCAGCCAGGATGGAGTGCAGTGGCACGGTCTTGGTTCACTGCAACCTCTACCTCCTAGGTTCAGGCGATTCTCCTGCCTCAGCCTCCCCATTAGCTGGGATTACAGGCATGTGCCACCATGCCCAGCTAATTTTTGTATTTTTAGTAGAAGGGGGTTTCACCATGTTGGCCAGTCTGGTCTTGAACTCCTGGTCTCAAGTGATCCACCTGCCTCAGCCTCCCAAAGTTCTGGGATTACAGGCATGAGCCACCATGCCCAGTCATTAAAGATGTTTTTTAAATTAATTAAAAATTTTAAAACAGATACTCTTCACTATTTACAATACAGCAGATCAAAGACAAAAAAAGCACAGTCTCGTGAGGAAGATGGACTCTAAACAAAGGGCAGCAACACTGTGCCAGAAGAGAACACAGTGGAACCTGAGCGAAAAGGAGGGGGATTCAGTCCCTAGGGATTGGTCAGGAAAATCAACAGAGGCAGGGACATTGGAACGGAGTCTTCTACTACGGGAGTCTGAGAATAGCCTCTTTCCCCTGCCCCAAATCTTTGGAAACAAAGAACCATTTGTTTAAGCCTACAGCTACCCTAGAAAGGAAAAAGGAGTGCTTTTGGTAGGTGTATTAGTCCGTTTTCTCACTGTGATAAAGAAATACCTGAGACTGGGTAATTTATTTTTTTAAAAAGGGGTTTGATTGGCTCACGGTTCTGCAGACCGTACAGGAAGCACAGTGGCTTCTGCTTCTGTGAAGGCTTCGGGAAGCTTCCAATCATGGTGGAAGGTGAGGGCGGGGGTGGGGGGGGGCAAGGCACTTCAAACAGCCAGAGCAGGAAGAACAGAGATGGGGTTGAGGAGGTGCTACATACTTTTAAACCACAGATCTCATGAGAACTCTATCACGAATACTGCACCAAAAAGATGGTGCTAAACCATTTATGACACAAAATGGAGACAGAAGTGATACCAGCAATAATGAATGGAATGAGAAGGGTTAAACTGGTTAACAATTGAGGGACAGAAATGGTGATATAACTGGAGGAGTGATACAACTGGATATAACCCACTCCCATGATCCAATCACCTCCCCCCAGGCCCCACCTCCAACACTGGGGGTTACAACGTGACATGAGATTTGTGCAGCAACCTAATTCCAAACTGTTATCAGTAGGTAACTATGGGAAGTAGACAAAATGCAAGGGGCATTCAAATGAAGAAGACAACCACCACCTGAAATGTACTGGGAAAGCTGCTGCAGAACTTACATCTCAAAGAAGGGAAAGAAGGAACTCAGAGATACTTGTACACCTATATGCACAGCAGCCTTACTCACAGTACCCCATAGGGTGGAAGCAAACTAAGTGTCCATCAACAGGGGAATGGATAAACCAAACGTGGAACATGCATACAATGGAATATTATTCAACTTAAGAAAGGAGGAAATTCTGGCCCAGGCTACCACATGGATGAACCTTCGAGACATGATGCTAAGTAAAATAAGCCAGTCACAAAAGGACAAATACTGAGTGATTTCACTTACCTGAAGTACCTAGAGTAGTCCAATTCATAAGACAGAAAGTAGAAGGTGGTTGGTTTCCAGAGGCCTGGGGAGGGGAACAGGAAGTTAATGTTTAACAGGAATGCAATTTCCAGTGAGGAAGATGAAAACGTTCCAGAAATGAATGATGGTAAGGGTAGCAAGACAATGTCAATGTACTTAATGCTATTCAGCTGTATGCTTTCCAATGGTTAAAATGGCACATTTTATATTTATCCTGCCACAATGCAAAAAAAAAAAAAAAAAAAAGGAGGGGAGCTATGAGGAGGCTGGGCAAGAGTTGTGGGGTGCTTGCAGCTGGGGGGCATGATATGGGAGCAGGAGGTCACTGAGGATGTCCATTCTCAGGGGATAATAGGGAGCTTCCCAGGAGTGGCCCTGGACAAGTCAAAGTGCACCTCCCACTGAGTCAGGGGAGTGTCGGCCACTCAGTTGGAAAGGCAGCACAATACATCAAGATCCCATGCCTGTAATGGAGCTGAAACACTGAACAAGACTCTGTGCTCCCATAGAAACATGCATATTTCCTAGAAGATCTGGAAGCATACTCTTCTTGACTGTGGTTGTCTTTGGGGAAAGGCTTGGAATTTGCAGTAAAGGAAAAGTTTAGCATTACCTGAATGTTCGGATTTTTTAACAGCAAGACTATATTTGGGTGTTCATATAACTTCAGTTTCAATAAGAGAAGTTGGCTAGGTGCAGTGGCTCACACCTATAATCCCAGCACTTTGGGAGGCCAAGGCAGGAGGATTCCTTGGGCAACATAGGAAGATCTCGTCTCTTCAAAAATAAAAATAATCAGCCAGATATGGAGGCACATGCCTGTAGCCCCAGCTACTCAGGAGGCTGGGGCGGAAAGGTTGCTTGAGCCCAGGAGTTCAAGGCTGCAGTGAGCTGTGATTCTGTGATCTCACCACTGCAGTCCAGCCTGGGTGACAGTGAGACCATGTCTCCAAAAAGAAAAAAAAAGAAAGAGAAAAGGATGGAACAATAGTTTCTTAGTCTTAACCACACTCATTACCAAAAATAATAGGGTCTATTTTGACTGACAACATCCACCAAAGGTTTGAGTCCTATTAGTTTTCATATACTTGAAAAAAAATATTTCCCTCAGAAACATCCCCTTGACATCTCTTTGTGGAACATGGAATGTGGAGAGTCGTTTCTGCTGCTCTCCCTCACCTCACCCCATGCCAACATTCTGCATCTCTGCTGAGCATCAGGGAGCCACCGGCCTTGGCAGCCTTCACAATAGGCACACCCTGGCCCTGCTGCAGATCAGGAGCCTGTCTCAGCCTGTTGGAACTCTTTGTTGGTGTGTTTGAGATGTTGTGAGAAAAGTGTGGAACTAAGAGTCGAGGAAACTTTAGTCCTGGCTCAGCCACTTACTTTTATTGTTCAGAGTGGGTTTCTTATTTAAATCTCTGTTTCTGTTTTCTTGTTTAAAAATTGTTATAATCTATGGCTACCGTAAGGTTGACAGGAGAATATAGATATTTAAGATAGTCTGCATGGGCAGGACAACACACACTACAGTGAGGGATCTTAAAGGCCTGTTTTGAAGGGAAAATGGCAAGTGAGCTACAGCGAGCACACATGTGTAGAGCCCAGTTCCAGCTCTGTCAAGATAGCTAGAGAATACACACACACTCCCCAGCCCATACACGGATACAAAGGCACACAGAAAGGAGGAAGCCCCCAATGGCTTGTCAGCCATGTCCTCTGGGGAAGGGAGGGGGTAGAGGTGGGAACAGAGGGGCTGTGCACATTTTACTTTATTAAAGATGTATGTACTGGTTGAGTGTTTTACCAAAACACATCGACTGTTCACCAGCATTGTAATCAAACCAACCTGCACGCCTCTGAGGGTCTCTCTATTCTAGCTGGGGAGATGTCAGAACTGAGACAAAATGTCCCGTGGGGAAGGGCAGACACTGAGGGAAGGAAGTGGGACTTCCTGCACCAGCCACCGCTCTGGCCATCAGGAGAGGTAGCCAACAGGCCAGTTTCCTCCAGGAAAGCAGCCGTTGGAGCAGAGGGGCCAGGCTCCCAAGCGATCCAGACATGAGCACTCCACACAGCACAGCCAGAGACATCCGAAAAACAGGAGGGGGTGCTGACCCAAGGGAAGGCAGGACCAGGGTATGTACCAGCCAGCACAGCCGGGTCACGCTGACTGGCAGTATTAATTTGGGAAAAACTAAATCGTTCAGTTTCATTTGCGTAGTTTGAATGTAAAATGAGTAGTTTGCATGCAAATGTGTGTGGCGGGGGTGTGTGGTGTGTGCGTGAGATACAGTGTGTGTGATGTGGTGAATAGTGAGTGTGTGCTGTGTGTGTGTATGGTGGTGGGGCATCCTGGAGGGTGTGGTGAGTGTGTGGAGTGTACGGTGTATGGTGTGTGGTATGTGGTGTGTCTGATGTGAATGTGATAGTGTGTGGAGTATAATGTAGTGTGGAAAGGTTAAGCGTGTACGTATGTTTTATGTGCATGGTGTAGTGTATGTGGTGTGTGGTATGTATGGGGTGTGTGTAACTGTGGTTATATGAGGTGTGTGTAGTATATGTGGTGTGTATGGGGTGTGTGTGGTGTGCATTAGGTGTGCATGGTGTATGTATGTATGATATTGTGTGGTGTGTGTGGTATCTGTGTAGGGCAAATAAGTTGTCAGTGTGGAATGTGGTGTGTTGTATGGGTGATGTAATATGTATGTGGAATGTGGTGTGCTGTGTATACGGTATTTATGAAGTGTGTGTGTGGCACATATGGGGTGTGTGCTGTGTATGAAATGTACATGGTGTATGTATGTACGGTATTCTGTGGTGAGTGTATGTCTATTGTGTGTATATAAGGTGTGTATGGTGTATATGTGTGGTGTGTGGTACGTGTAAAGAGTGCAAGATGTGTATGAAGTATGTGTGTAATGTTTGTGAGGTGGACATGATATGTGTGTGGTGTATAAAGGGTGTGTGTGGTGTCTGC